TATTCTACGAGCAAGGGCGGTTTCTTCTTTGGACTCTCTCCTCATAAGAATAAACGACATTAATATGATTTAAAATTTAAATACATTGATATTAAATATTCATATTAAGCGAAAAAAATAAAAAATTAAAGCGAACTAGGTTTGGATAATTGTTACGTCTAAAAAACTTTAAAATATAAGTTTTTCCCTCAATAATCACAAATAATTTTGAAAAAGTATGATTTTTTAAATAAACATTCTGATAAAATTGATTGATAAAATTACACAAAATTGGTGATGTTTCGTATGCGTTTTGTATGCGAGCGCGAGCACAATGATTCATGTGAATGCTACCGACGAGAAGGCGGCTCTTTGTGGGGTCTCGAAAAGTACAATGTATGTCAAAATTCTGTGTCATGGTTACGCACAGGCGTCGCTCTTTAATGACCACGCAGTAAGTGTTACACAGTGCCGCAGTTTCTTCCTACACAATCGACGCGGTTCGTTCATTCGTCATGCGCGCGACTCGAAAACGTTTCGTTCTTCGTTCTTGCTCGCGGATCAGTGAAGACGGCGACCGATGACAGCTATTTACGGTATAAACAGATGTTTTTTTTTTGCTCTCCTCGCTCTCGTTAGAGAAAGATTTGTCTATTTCACAAATAGGAAAAAATATTTGCAAGTATTGAAAAAAAAAACTGTTTTAATAGACCGCGTTCTCTTTTTTCTATTTGTGGCAATTCGCACATATTTATAAAGACGCGTACAAACACGCACAAACTTGGGAATTTTTTTCTTTATCATTGTAAGTTTACCGTAGTATTTCCGTATCTTTTACGCGAGCATTATGTCGTAAGAGAGAGAGAGAGAGAGAGAGAGAGAGAGAGAATACATTGTAATACAAAATAGTTTGTCGTAAATATAAAGTACACATACAAGTAATTACTCTATTATTATCGCGTGTTCAAATAGCGGCACAATAGTACGAGTATTAGTCGAAAATTCTCAACTTTATTTTATAATAACCTGATTTTTGTATTATTTATACATAAATGACATTAATTTAAAATAGAAATTGTCTTGGATATTGTAAAAAGAATATATATATTTATATATTATGCGACTGATTCTCTTTAGAACATCCAAGATAACTTTTCTTCCGGTAATACATGACAAGGCCCATCTTCTCGGATGATCACTCTAGCGTAAAAACGCAATGAAAATTTACAGAAAGACGTTCAATGACCATTGAGGTATTTTGGGGTCAGCATTGAAAGGTACCGTTTGGCAACTACCACCGAGAAGATAGACCACAGTCACTTTCTTCGGTCTCCTCACTTTTATATTTTCGTTTGGATTCTTTTCCTGGGCACCAGTTGTCCGCCTTTCTCTCTTATTCTATTTGCAGTTAGATATCGCTGAAAGTCTGATCCCGGATAATTCGAGAATTTGAATTTAGTTTTGGCTGAATTATCGCAAGAACATACCGAAAATTACCAGAGACCGAATTAATTGGAGTTAGAATAACTCATGATATTCTCTCGTGATAATATCGAAGCAGCATATAGAGGCATATTTTTTGCACGTTTTATTCATTAATTTTATATAACACGAAGTATTCGATTCCTTTAATATATTAAACGCTATTGTGTATATTATAAGAAATAAGCAAGAAAAGAAATTAGTTTTTTTGATGCTTATTTCTAAATTTGTTACGCGTATGAAAGATAATAAATATGCCATATTCTAAAAGTAAATATATGTAAATGATTGTGGAATAGAGGATATAATAAAATTATAAGACAAATATCACGGAAACAAGAATTAAAACACGATCGAGAGAGAGAGAGAGAGAGAGAGAGAGAGAGAGAGAGAGAGAGAGAGAGAGAGAGAGAGAGAGAGAGAAAAAAATAGATATACCCGAGAGAAATCGACAGCGAAACAAATCGATATTCGTATCGCGGTGAAGAAGCCTACGGCATAGCTAAAAAAAGAAATCATTGAAATGAAAGGGACCTTTTTTCGGGAAAAAATAAAAGAGGGAGAGAAAGAAAGAGTACGTAACGCACAGCCGGTATATACAATCGCGGATCGCAAGTGGAATCCTCTATTATTTTATAGTATTCGCAAGCGTTCGCGCACTGATGTCGCAATTAATGTAGACGCAAGTGGTTCCTATTCGCGGAACTCTCTATTTCAACGGACCCCCGAGCACACGCGCGCCTTCCCGCATGCTAATCCGCATTTTCTAAGGCCCGAACGCTCGTGTCGGCTGTGCTAACGAGCTCGTCGAAATGGATCTAGGCTCGCTCTAGTGCAACGTTGAGCTAGCACGCGCGCGTTCCAATTTTCACTTTCCATTCTCGATACCAAAGTTACGCAATCGCCAGAATACTTAGGCGATATTACAATGGGCCTTTATAGACCGATTTGATAAACATTGAATTAATTATCATCAAAATGAAAATCTTTGAAAAAATGTATCATTATATATACATAATTATTATATATTAATTTACCCTAACACAAATATACATACATGCACACAACTTATGTATCTTAATATTTATTTTGATATAAATCTCTCATGATATAATAATCGCAGAGAACTCTGATTGTAAATAAGAATACTAGAAGCACACAATAATACTATGAACAGATGCCTTGTAAATATTAATTAACTGTCATTCGAGCATGAAAAGAAACTTTGAAGGTTTAAAAATTTTATTAAAAAGCTGTACTTCTAAATTGATAATAACATCAATATATATGTGCGAGAGGATGTTGCAGCTTTAGAGGAAGGCCGCGTTAAAAGACCGAGTAATTATCGGTGCGCCGTGCGATACGTTATTAGTAAGCTTCGAACGTATTAGTATTAGACCGACAATTAGCTCTATGATTGAAAAATATCGTATTTATTTACTATATTGTATACGTACATTGTTTTACTTTATTTCCTTGAAATCAATCGATTAATGTTTAATTCAATTGAAGTTAATTAATCTTCTACTTCTGTTTATTTTCACTTAATTTATATTACAGAAACTCGATTATTAATCATTCTTGGCAGTCGTGCTCTCGAATTAAAAATCCGAACACCGAATTAATATTTGACTATTTAAATGAATATGTTAACTATTCATTACATAAATTATTACACAATTATTACTATCATTATTGTATAGAATAAAGAATAGAGACTCCATATGTATAAAAAATAAATTCCTATATAATATATTTAAAAATAAAAAATATAATATCGAGCGCGCGCGCGCGAAAGGAATTTTTCGAAAAATATTGTAACTATCGCACACAAGTGATTATATTTAACATTTTATTTATTTTAAGCAGAATGCTCTCATAAAAATATAGCATGTGTTTTCCTTACCATTCGAATACGCCGATGGTAGTAATTTGAGGAACGGAGAACCTCGGGCACCCCAAGCAGGATGTCTCACGTTATTGCAAGCACCGGAGGGTGTTCTGTACTTGTTTGGCGGGCATGGCCTTTCTGATCGAATTCTACAGGCCGTGTTTACTGGCTGTATTCTATTTGCGCGTCTAGAAAAAAAAAATAAAATCGCGTTTGAGCATGTTCTGAATAAATAATCAAACGATATAATCGATCGATTGAACGATAACATCATAGGAAATCCATGTAAGTATATAAGCTCCCATGATAAGAACTGATGGATATTATTCAATTAATGTATATATTTCTATTATCTATTATACATTTCACTTTTTTTATAACATATCCTTTTTTCCGTTTTTTCACTTCCTCTTTTCTTTTTTCCCTTCTTGCTTTTCTGTCTTTTTTATAATTGCTATCGTCGCAGTGCTATGTCTAAAATTAGCGTTCATATAATAAATCTTTTTTTGCTGTCCATATAATTATTAAGAAAATTTGTCATGGCAGTGTAAAACACACAATAAATTTTTCTTCTCCTTGGAGATCATGCGTTAGAATCTGTACACTCTCTCCCGTTCGATATGGAAGAACGCAGTCCCACTCGAACATTCTTCCTGCTCCATTTCCCTCTTTTTCTCGCGCTCGGCGCACGCTTTTACTTTCATGGTCGAGGAAAGGTACCGATCAACGTCGGCATTTCAGTCACGAGGAAGATTTCTCGTACAACCATCGCCGGCGGTGTTCCCTTTCCTCGACCTCGAGAAGGCTGCCAGTCACAAGAGAAGGCTTGTGTGTACGTATAGATATTGCGATATGCCCTATACCATGACCACGAGTACCATCGTCATTCTGTCAGTCGCTAATGTCGCCAACCAATTGCAGCGCGTGCGACAACTATCGAGAAACCCGTTTTGTCGAGTTTAAAAAAGGTTGATGTATGAGTTTTTCTTTGCTTTGCAACATGGAATTATTTGAGAATAAATAAATGGAAGCTGGACTGCTTTTTTAATTAATCATGGAAAATATCGAGCTTACAATATCTTTCTCTTCTTTTATTATATGGGATTTAAAATAAACTGTTATTCTCGAACGTAACAGTTTATCTTAAATCCCATATGAGTATCTTTATAAAGCTGTTGTGTTGCGTTAATATAAATTATATTCTATTTAAATTACAAATGTTGTTTGTTTACAAATTTCAGAGATTCAGAGAAAAAAAAAAAAATTGATATCGCAGTATTAATATAGAAATTTTTGTAATCTTTATTCCCAAATGGTGTTTTGCATAAATAATAGAGAAATTATATCCGGTTAGAAGACACATCTCTTTTTTGCACATCGGAAAATCAATTTCTCATTAAATATAGACGGTCGAGAGAGATCTGTCTGTCCTTGACGCTTACAATGGCATCCTTTTTTCTTTCTCGGTCCGATCATTATACATTCGGCGGCGCTTGCTGCGACCTTCGGAATTCCTTCTATCGTGAATTTGATTGAAATAGGTAAATTATATAAAAACCACAAAATTTGTGAAATTTTGTATCGGCATTTTGTGAAAGTAACATGAACCAGATTGTATTACGTTGTTAATCGTACAACATGACTTGAGAATATATGGATTTTCTTTTCACTCTGATGCATTTTTAATGAATTTTAATGCTTGCACAAGGATCTCCTTCTAAATATCTCTTTGAGAGAGAAATACAGAATAACTTACAATCGATAGGTGAATCTCTCCGCTTCGATGGCCGAACGTGCTCTCGCTTGTAAATCATGATCTATTCCGTAGACATACTCTGTACAAAACAAACAAAAGTATACAAATTGTTACACGAATTGTTATGTCTTTTAATTTACGTGTATAAAGATCAGAAAATTATCATAAAAATTGTCATAAAAATTGCGTTATACATATTGTTATCAAGCATGTAAAATTGTTTACATTTTGAAATGTAATAATTATATCATGCATAATTACAGCATACAATTTCTAATGATATATAAATTTGATTCTTCACATAATAATATATTTCACAAGCTAAATTTATTAAAATATTATCAACGGCGTAATTATTTTTTTTATAAAAAAAACTTATGGGGATAAAAGTTTGTAATAGCGTATATTTTCACCTATGCATTTGAAACAACAGAATTAAAAATAAAAAATCCTTGACATACATTTTAAATACATATTACTTCAAAATGGAAATTAATGTCATTAATTGCCAAATCAGCGCGTGCACGCGGCGAGATAAAGATACACGAATAAAAGATATCACGTTTGGTGATAATACTGAGTAAATAATAATTATGTGTGTTTATATTAAAACCTTTAAAAATTTTCTCTGTTTCGATTTCTGACATAACGTCACGATGTTACGTCGATTCGAATGTTTCCTATTTTACGTGCCGATTTTATGTGCCAACGTAAGAGCAGTTTCACTATTGTTCTCCGTTTCCTTCAAATTTGTAATACCAATCCGTTCCCTTTATTACATAATAAACATTTCGGCAATACATTCCCGGATGAATGACAAAACAAAACTATATACGGTCAATGCAATATTCAAAAAAATATGATGCATGCGATTAATACCCTATGTAAGTATCTACATTATTTCTTGATGATATACTTTTCCTTTTTTTATAAAACTATATAAAATTTTAATTTATCAAGAATCGATAAAAAAATTATATGTTAAAATTGCTAATCGAGTTATTTTAGTCTTTCGCAAATTGATTTGATAATTTATTTGAAATCAATTTCATTTCAAATCAATTTAATAGATACATTTTAGAAAGAATAAAAAAGAAATAATTTCTGAGAATTACAGCTACAAGATTAATCAGCAACGTGTTTTTTCATCAAAATAATAATCAACGTTCCTGTTAAAAGATGACGCCGAAGCGTCATTAATTTACGAGAATGTCAAAAATACGTAACATGGTACTATGTAATCGATTTTTTTACATATATTTCTTTACTGAAATAATATATTCTTATATATGTATATGAAGCATATACTATTTTATTTCATTTATTATTCCGTCAAATATTTTAATATATTTCGGCGTTAATATATTTAATTTTTGCACACAAATATAAAGTAAATTTTAAAAATTTTAAAAATTAATTACACGGAAAGAAACGCATATCTGAGCAGAAACATGCATATCTCTTTCAGAGAATATTCTATTTTTAATTATTACACTCGTGACATATTAGTGTTCGTAAAAGTACGTATGAAGGAGCATCTGATGCTTAGAGGGGCAAAGGTTTAAAGAGACTCTACTAGAATTATTTCATTAAAAATATATCCAATAAATTGTATATTTTCTTAAGAGTATCGCATATTGTATGCGATACTCTTAAGTACATTCACCGCAACTATCGTTAAGATATTGAAATGAATTACAATACAAACATTGCGTAAAGATTGACGTGAATTTATGGCAAAATCAAGCTGCAAAAAATTAATGTCATGACGCTAAAAAAGGCACATAAAATGGATAAGTAATGTATGCATTAGCGCAACGCTGTCTTTTTTTGCGGTAAAACGCGCTTACCAGAAATATCGAATTGGTTGACTGGCGATAATATTGCTGGTATCACGATGATAAGTGTACACAGCAGTACCAGGCTGCTTCTGAAACCAAAATAAAGATCGCATCGTTCTTTTATTTCACACATTCAAATTTATAAAGATAATTATTAATAAATACAACAAAATAAAGTAATGTACAAATACTTTTTTTTTCAAAATACATTGCATATTTTGAAATATATCCTATACATATCTAGATATTGAGATTAAAGCATCTTCTAAATCACTTAATACGACATTAAAAAGTTATACGCATTATTAAAATTGATGGTAAAAAAGAATATCAGTAAATTTAAATTATGTTGATGTTAATAAATTAATTCAACTTTCTAAAGAGATATTAAAACATAAAAATACGCGTAAATGTAGATATCTTTACTATTAGTCTACATAAATACCATTAACCAAAAGTTAAAATTGTCCAACAAATTCTGGAAAATGTTCGACGTATGACATTTCGAATACTTCCAAGTAGCCATATGTACTTTCTCCGAAAGAGCTAAAAGAGAAAAAAAGAAAGATCACGAGCACGAGTGAATTTACCGCATTCTCGAACGCGAGAATCCGCTTACTCGCTTTGACCGGTCTTTAATTCGGGTCTCGATCTTGTTACACACTAAGCATTGATCTTTACTTTCACACATACGACTCTAAATTGCTTCAATCAATCACACATTTTACAGAAACTAAAATAAAAAGTATAATAACGTATTTAATATAATCTCAAAGTGATTCCTTTGACTCCATATACATTTCACAGAAATTAGAATCAAACAAAATTCAATAACACCTCTAATATGATGAAAAATTGTAAATGATTGTGATATTTTATATATATATATATATATATATATACGATTTTCATCAAACATACAAAGAAGAAATATATGCGTGCGTATGTTTACGATCGATCTGTGTCCTTAATACAGATTAATAATTAACTCAGTGAAGCCTCTCAATGAAATATTTGTAAATATGAAATTTAATGATTTAAAATAGAATCTAAACAATATATACATAAAAAATATCAGATTTATATAGATAAAACGTTCAGTCTTTTAGAGATATAATTTAGTCGAGTTAAGTCTTGGATAAATTATCAACGATCCATTCATGTGGGAAACATTTTACAATTTTTTTTTCTTGTTTTTTCTAAAAATATATTATCTGCTCAAGTAAAGCAGCAACAAGTATGTGTGTGTGTGTGAATATACGCATTTCAAATATACTTCAAGAAAAATATTAGATATATAATGCAATTAAAATGAGAATCGCCACTTTCAACAATAATACACGTAAGTGAATGGACATGTTAGTGCCTTCGCTGTCTAGTAGGCATTTGCGGGTCAATCAAAATTACACCGCAAATTAGATATCCAGGACCCAGGAACCACCTCGAGTTTCCCGAATGCCAGACTAAGGTACAATACTTATTCGCGCACGCTTCCTCCTTTCCATGTCCGCGTGCTTATAGCCGGTGTAAAGCGAAGAGAGAGTAGCCACTGCCGCTGGCTATATCAAATACTTTTTCCTTTTGTTCTCTTATTTGAAACACGTACGTTTACTATATAAATAATTTACAAATGTATAAAATATCTTGAAAATTTGCAAACAGAATAACATTATTAATAAAAGCGATAGACTAATAAACGATAGCTATATGAACGACCATGCATAATTTTGGAAACAATTAAATAACAAAATATTGTGTACTTAATGTAAACTACATTAATTTGATTTTATATTAATTTAATTTGATCTATTTGATAAACCTGTGCAGGAAAAAAAATATTGAAACATTTTTATATGTTATAATTTTTCCATTTACTTTTTCATATGAAATCGTCACGCTATCGTCACTTGTTCGTATATTTTGTGTCCAATAATGGATTATCGTATACAAGATACGCGAAATTATCTTTCCACGAGATATAAAAACAGATACAGACGGTTGCTTCTCGCTACGTGGCGCGAGGCGCGAGAAGCTGCTATCGCAAGACGCACACGCGCACGCACATATACACAGCGATAATTCAGTGTCAGTGGGTCAACGGAAACTGGAGAAATCTTTCTCGAGGATCCGATACGCATACGCGTCCTCGAGATCTCGCGCTTCGGGCGGCGGCGGCGGTCGCGTCTCCGAAAAATATCGCTCCAAGGGACACCTGTTGTGCCGAAAGTTCGAGTATCATCGAATGAAGTCAAATCCCACTTATATTAGCAGGTCTATAACAATTCTTCGATTTTAGTTATGTTTGCTACATAAATATACCGTTTCTGTGCTCACAAATATAATATATATAAAAAAAGAAATAAGAGAACGTATATGTAATATTATCCGGCGAATATGTATATAAATATAAAATTTTTTGCTATAAATATTATTTTAAATATCGATAGTATCAGTTATATAGATGCATTTTCTTTTTTTACCGAAAAGAATATAAAAAACGTTAAACTCATGTATATTTATGTGTTACCCGATACGCTCGATAAAAATAAAACAGGTTGTCATGAATGAATATAATAGTTTTAAATTCCTCCGGAGAGACGATAAGTAACAAATAACAACGACATTCTCGAGGAAGTGTACGCGAGTGAAAGTGCTTATAGGACATTCGCCTAGAGATTCGTTCTAGCGGCACGTTTGCCCCCTGGTGAGAAAAGAAACTGCTGCTTACAAACTGATACAAATACATCATATATACAGTGTCTTTTTGCACGACGAAGATCGTCTCTCTTATGTGACCATATAACATCATCACGATATTATACATACATTACATTACGATACTCCGATATTAAAATATACAAAACTCAATTAAACTCAATCAAATAGAGAATTCCGTTTCTTTGAATAAAAATGATTCCTATATTCTGTTAGTGAGTGGCTGTTAATAAATGTGCAATAAATAACATTTAACGATAAAAGTACGAGGGAGTATAAGATAAATCTTTGTTTATTAGTTTTACAGTGATTGCATGAGAACAATTGTGTAATCTGAATTGTCATTTATAATTAATTTATAATATCGTCTAAATTCTCGCTTTTGACAATGTCAGTAAGTGACAATTATTGCTTATTACAAAATTAATAAAACAAATCAAATCATTTATTGTATATTCCGCCCCCACTCTTTTATGTCCCGCTATCATTAGATTTCATTCATTACATACTCGTTGATGGAGATGCAAATGTATTGTAAATATATCGAAAATGCAAAATGTGTAATACAAAATTATACAAACAAACATTCAGTTATCGCAATATAATAGCGTAATTCTTCTGTATTTATATAAATAAAATCAAATAATACTTTTGAAAATATTTTTCGACGTATATAATTTTCCATCAATGTACTCACGCAATAGATGACAATGATAAAAAGCTGCGCGTGTAAATTCTGAAAGATTAATTGAATTAAATATAGCTTAACGATCTATAGCTATATATAGCTTTTTATTGACGATAAGCTAATTGTGTGCAAAAAAAAAAAGAGAGAAATAAAGTATTACATCGAAACAAAATTCCGTATATGACAATACCACGTCCGGAAGCTTAATTAACGAATCGGAAAAAATGAGAATCGTAAAGCGGAAAGTCGCTCTCCTTGACTTCATCGCCATGTCATCGTTATAGTCGCGATTACGTTTGCTGCATACACCGCGATAATCGGTCGAACGTAACAATGATCTAATGACTTGCCATACGCAAAAGTCCGCGACAGTCTCCTTCTTCATCGCGATTCACCATGTTCCTTTGTTATCGCGCGTGATCGACGCATAAATCCTGTAGCTTCGCAATGCGTTGGAAAGTTCGCGTCGTGTTGCGTCGCCTCGCATATCGAACGGATGTTTAATCGAATGATTAATCTATGTGACAAAAATCTCACACCTGCACGTTAAAACTAGAAGATAGATGCTCTTACATGAGGAAAATAATATGATATCATTTATCGTTAGTAAAATAATAATTTATTAAATTTAATAATTTGTGAGTAAACTTTAAATTATATGTAACGAATCAATCGAAAACTTTCGTTGTATATCAACAGATTAACAACAATTAATTTATAATATATGTATATGTATAAATATATGTTATAATTATAGAAATATAAATTATAGAATAATCATGAAAAGATAATAATTAATTTGTATATATAATCACAAATTATTATATAATATCGCTTTTTACATATCCAATCAATAATTAATAATAATATTTTATTAATTATATAATTGTTAGTTGATGTAGATTAATATTCTCAATTTACGTATATTTAAATTAGATTAGTGTCACGAGTCACGATTTTTTTAAATTAGTACATTCTCGGATCTGTCTCTTTACGAGTGACAGTTAAGTTAAGTTTCAAATATTTGCAGAAATCTCTCTTTAACATAAACTCCATTATAGCATAACCACACAGCACATTTGTGCTGTTAAACTCTAAAGTGAGAACCACTAATCTTTAATCTTTAAAATTAATTTAAAAAATAGAAAATATATAGTTATATCCTTATAAACATAAAATTATTTAATCTGATTTCATTTTTCTATGCAGAAAACTTTACGCAAATATTCATTATTTTATATAGTTTATTAAAACTAGACTTCTTCATATATGTACATACATATATCAGTAAAATATCTAAAAAGAATCATTGTGATTAACAATGTTACAAAATGTTTCCAAGCGCAATAAGTTGAAGAGCTACGTTAATGATCGACTTAATGCTTGATGCCGGCAGTGCAATAACAGTGACCTATGATTTGTAACGGTGTTTATGCGATAAACGACTTTTAACCAAGATCGTGATAGGTTAATGCAACAGAAAGGTATCGCTGCCCTTGCTCCTGTGCAAAACGATGATACTAATGGCAACATGTCAGGTGTGGCTTTGTTTATATTTTTTCAATTTTGCTTGCCCCAAATCATTGATGTCGCGTATATAAGCAAATAATAATGTGTACTTGTGCGTTTGCGCGCTTGTATGCGCACGCGTGAATTTCACATTATTCGATTATATATCGTAGATGATAATTATTGTAATTCCGTATAAAATAAAATTTCTCTTTATATTTAATATAATATATATAATTTTATTATATATTGTATTTTAACTCATTTTATAAGTGTTAAAATAGATATTACATCTTTAAATGTATTTTTTCTTTACTTCAAGCACAATTATTAAAACAACCATTAGACATGTCATACATTTGAAAACATATAGAAAATCATTCCAATCTGAAAAAGAGAATCTTGTATTTTAATTTTCATCAAACATAGATGGCATTTAGTTCTGATATTCAAGAATTTCTGTATTTTGAGGATTTACGTTGTTTACATCCTAAAATTCTCAAATTGAAAGTTTTAGAACCCTCAAGTCCCTGAACCCTCGGATTCTGAGATCTCCGGGTTGTAAAATGTCAAAACTATTATCTCCTTAGAATACGGCAATTAATTACGCCGATTTTAGAATCCTCATTTAAATAATTAAACGTTTAAATCTCCAAATATTAGTGATTTTGTCTACTTCTTAAATCCTCATAAATTTTGGATTCTTGAAATTTCAGATGCTCAAGATCGTGTAAACTATAGAATCGTTTTAGTCGGAAATAGACAACTGGCTAAATGTGAGATAATGTTTAACGATACCAGACGAGCGCGTCTGATTAATTGGTGACCTGCACTACTTGTATCTTCTCGATATACGCTCGAGTAGAGTTTGAACTTTAATTGAGCGATTTTTATATCTTGCCATATTTAATAAAACTTTGATAAGATATAAGGTATTGATATTCTTAGCCTTCTATACATATATGCACATACATATATATACATACAAAATATATATATAGAACATACAAAATATATATATATATATATATATATATATATATATATATATATAAACATTATATATTAAAACAATTATATAAGTATGGTTTCTCTCCCTTCTTCCCTCCCCCCTCCTCTAAGCATAAAATATAATAAATTAGTCTCCTCAAATTAATGATAATAAATAACCGGTCTTTATCAGCAAAAGAGTTACGTGATTGCATTACAATTTTATAGTTGTTTATCATAGAATTTATTAATAAGCGAATGATTGTAGCATATGATCGTACATTGAATGTAAATGTTTATCCGGAAAATTAGTATTCGAGAAAAACTTGTCGGATGAAAATGAGATTTTCTATTTATTATCTATAATAAATGGAAGATTAAACAGAAGTGTCAATAAATATTCAATAGAAATTATGAAACAAAGTTATATATCATTTTGTTATTTAAACGATTGAAGCTTGCGTATTATATGCGGGTGTTATCTTTCGTTCGCTTTTCATACATTGGTTGTTTTTTTAGCGCACACAACAGGGACAAAAAGAATTTAATTAAATTTATCTCTACTACAACATGCTTAAACCTTTTTTTCTTTTTTTAAAGTTAATTGCAAATATTGAAACAATGTGAATTTAATTGAGTAAAAAGACTGTACTTGTCGAAGTCTATAACAAGCTCTCTAATTCATCTAACACAAGTGGATGATATGAGGAAAAGAGAGAGAGAAAGAGAAAGAAATACCATTTGACTATTAGAGAAAGTTACTTTTACGCGTTACTTTGGAACGTCCTGACAAGCGTTAACTCATACTAATCATCTTCGACGTAACGTGAACCCTCGACTCCGCTAATGTTAGTCTTCTCTTCCGGTGAAAGAACAATATTTTTTTTATTTTTTTCAGAAAAAGAGAATAACTTTGTAATTTTCTCATGTGCAATTGTAATAACTTTTAAATTGAATTTCATCGCAAGATGTTCAAGTTCGCAATAATCAATGGAAATTTTAAAAAAGATTAATATTCGAGAGAGAGAGAGAGAGAGAGAGAGTACTTTTATTAATAAGAATAATTCAAACTCGATGAACGATTTAATCTTACCTGAGCCAATTAACCGTCACCATTTCTGTCAACTTTCCAACTTGTTGTTCCGTGCGTTTCCGCTCTTAAAATCGCGTGCTTTTTCCCGCGCACGCTGCGGTCTCTCTCGTTTCTCTGGCTTTTTACTGGCGCGCTTTTGGCGCGGTGGCACGAAGGTGTAATTGGACGGAAAATCTTCCGTTCGCGCTCACTCAGACTTTTATTCTCTGTCAGATGTTACACTGGTCGCGATGTCGCGCAAATAACATGGAGAAGCAACGCGTAACTCCAACAACTCTCCGGCGGATACTGAGGCCTGAGGCCTGAAGGCCCGTCGCAGACACCGTCGTGAGTCGTGATAGCCTCCTCTTCGCGCAACCACGCGGCGAGCGGCGAGTGAAAGCGAGAGGTGCCGCAAGCGCAAGCCGCACGCCGCACGCCCGCCGCCCGCCGCGATGAGCGAGAGCCGAGAGCGGGTATACGAGAGCGACCGCGGCCGATTATGTTTCTGTGTAAGAAAAAAAAAGAGAGACGGATTGAGCTCGGAGCGGCTTCTTGGCGCGCGGCTCAAAATCCCACTCAACGTGACCAAAGATATGCAAACGAGGCCGAGTAACAGAGACAAGATGAGTACGATACAGCCCATCAAAGTCGCCGCAACGATCGGAACGAGAAAGGGCAAGCCTCGATGCATTGCGCTCGATGAGAAAGGCGCTGGAACGAGAAGGAAGTTTCGATGCGTAGGAGGGTAAAATTAGCTACTTATGCAAAAAGCAGTTTCGTACAACAGTCATGCGTAAGATAATAGTAAGATAAACCTATGATACCTATTACATTTGGTTTATGTTCGTAATGAACATGATAACGAGGGTACCGTCTTACATCCATCGGTTTCTTTATCAACCCTCGGTTGATTGTAGTATTGCCGTCGAATTTGATTGCGAGAGAAAGAGAAAAGAGAGAAAGGGAGGGAGTACAGTGGCTACTGTAGTCCGCGATAAATCGTTGCAAATATGGATAAGAGTAGGCGATGATGTATTGTAAGTTATACCGCAACTCTCCTATCTCGTGCTTTCATTTTACAACGAAAGCACGAATGTATACTAAACATTTATATTTTATATAAATTAACAATGTTAATAATATATGGACAATATATTCGTCTTATTTCGAGGAACGTGCGTGGTTTACGCAAATTCAGGCTTCAATTGTTACGTTTTACAAAGCCCTTTTTCAAAATCACGACTTAATAAGAATAACGTGCCGTGAATTTTTCGTTTAATTTTCAAGCTTATGATTGTTACGTTTTGGGAAACATTTATTCAACGTGTATGCGCGATATATGTATATATATATCTTCCAAATTTTTTTATTCGGGCTGACAAAAAGTACGTTTATTGCTGGCTGCAAATACAGCTAGCCGTTGTTCTTTTCTCATTGTCAGTCTTTTCGCATTATCGCGCGAAACGTGAAAAGATCCGACAGAACGATGCGATGTGACGCCAAGCGTCGATATGCTACACAATTCGTGGAAGGATGAGGGATAGACTGCAATTGAAGATCACAAAAATTCTCGGAAATAGCGGCGAGCGAAGGATAATGAACATGGGAAAGGTAGCATTAAGTAAATGCCATCCAAGGAGACCAATCGATGCCCGCACGCAATATCGGGAACATCCAATGAATATTCTGATTTGAAATATTTTTCATTTTTATGATAAATGTCGCGGAACTAGAAATTTTGATCTCATCTTGTATAAATAAATGATCGCTATAATCTTCTCGCTCGCGATATAAGTGTTGATATATATATATTTTGATTAATATATATATATATATATATATATATTAATCAAAATATATATATATCAACACTTATATCGCGAGCGAGAAGATTATAGCGATCATTTATTTATACAAGATGAGATCAAAATTTCTAGTTCCGCGACATTTATCATAAAAATGAAAAATATTTCAAATCAGAATATTCATTGGATGTTCCCGATATTGCGTGCGGGCATCGATTGGTCTCCTTGGATGGCATTTACTTAATGCTACCTTCCCCATGTTCATTATCCTTCGCTCGCCGCGCTCGCGATATAAGTGTTGATATATATATTTTGATTAATATATATATATATATATATATATATATATGCAATTTATGAGAGAAAGTATATCATACAATCGCATAGTAGTATAAATGGAAAATTTGCATCGAGAATGTTAATAAAAATTAATGTCGCTTGAAAAAAAATGTTAATAAGAATAAGAACAAATGTTATCTTTAATTTTTTTAAGTTTACAAATTACTCATATTTTGCACATTGTGTTATATAAATATAATTTACTCTCTTCAATTTAATTTCTTTACCGCTTATTATAATTCAAAACTCTCTCTCTCTCTCTCTCTCTCTCTCTCTTTCTCTCTTCCTCAGTTGGATACCTATTCGATTAAAAATGAAACTACATTCGAACGGGGACACGTAGACAGTACCTGGAATGTGTGGACGTGCCTTCATCCAAGTATGCTGTTATAGTGAAGGCGCGATGTCATGTCGTGACCTTGACCTTTGAGAAAAGGAAGAAATCAGTCGAAAAATACTTATGGATGTAACCTTTAGTTGCAAAAGAAGATGTCTATATAAGAATTGAATAGTTGATTACAGTGAAATGTTAAGAGTTTAGACCAGACGACGACAAAAAGTTTATAGTTAGTTAGAAATTTCTGTGAGATTCGAAAATTAAGAGTTTAAAAAATGAAAATCGAACAAAAATATTCAAAAGCTGAGAGTTGAAAGTTGATTAATGATAAATGATTGAAAATTGACTATTGAAAATTATATATGATTCGCAACAATATCCACTTTCTACTTGAATATAATTCTATTTAAATAAATTTCACATGTCGCATTCTGTTGCACCAATAAAAGTGTAAATTCTGCTTAACGAATGGGAGAACATGAGCGTAAAAAAATGTAAAATATGTTATAACGTCAAAGTTCGAATTAAAATCACCCTTTCTCAAAGGGTATGAAAATAACTGTATAAATCAAAAATTATTGTTAAAAATAAAAAAATGTCATAAACAGAGCAAAATTGACTGCAAGAACGATAATCATGAGGCTTGCAGTGAAAGTATTGTAACGAGAAAGAGAGAAGTCACCCATATTTCTTCTTTTTACTTCCAATACAACTTTCATTGAGAGTGAGTGAGAGAAAGAGAGGGGGATGAAATAAAATAATGATAAAAATTTCTGAATACTGTATAAATGCAAATAAATATAATTAATATTTTATTACGGCATAAAAATAAAAAATTAAGCACAAAAAAATATGATAATAAAATAAAAAATATAAAAATATCATACATAAATAATAATACATATAAACATACGCATATAAGAGGAAAATATGCAATTGCATAGAAAATAAAAAGAATTGAAATTTATCCTCAAAGTTTAAATCTCTTATACTCTTACTTTTAATCCATTATATTCCACAGCAATATCAATTCGTAAAAAAAGTTTGTAAAATTTAGATGTATTATTTTTATTTATTCATTGCACTTTAACAGAATATTTTTATATTAAACATAAGATAAATGGAGCCTACTGTGCAATTTTATAAAACTATACAATTCAATTTATATATTGCTGTTTGTTATTCTGTAGAATTTTACATATTTACATGCACCATATGTGTGCGTAAAAAAAACCAAATAAGTCACCGATATATGAATGAGATGGTCACCGTCACTTCGTGCCCAATTTCACTGAACAAATGATTTAATTTATAAATATAAGTGACAGTATGTTTTTATTTCAGCCTTTCTCCCTCTCTCTCCCTCTCTCTCTCTCTCAGGTGACATCGAATGACAAGAAAGGAGGGATATTTCGTTGATGTCTCAGTGAAATTCGAAAGGTCGTCTTTTTGAGGTTACCCGCGTCGGAGCGTGTTTCCACCGTGACTTTATGTAAAATGTTCCGCGAGCCATGTATGTCATACTGAATAGTTTATCTGATTTTACCATCATACATATATATCACGATAGAGAGATATTAATCGATTCAATTTTTAATTGGAACAATTTTTAAATTTAGATATACAAGTATGTATATACATATTAAAATATATACTTAAATTATATGCATGAATTATTTTCTATCATTATGCGTACATCTCTTTCAGATATAGACACGTGTATATCGTCAAATAAATTTTAACTAAATCTCTAAATATATATCTTATACTCTTGTCAGAGATTGTACGCATAATAATAGAAAATAATTCATGCATATAATTTAAGTATATATTTTAATACAAATTGATTAGAGAAACAATTTAATAACACGATTTACTTCATCTATCATAGATTTTAAATTCAAATGAACCAAACTTCATCATTTCGCGACTTATGTGAGATGCGAGCATAACTATTATTTACTTGAGATTAACGTGTGGAAAAAAAATTGCACTTGCGAAATTTCATACTTCTCCTTGGTACTAGAAAAGTTACGTGACGTTCTTTCGCGACTGTCTAAGCGACGATGTTCTGCCTACAGTGATCGTCGTGCCTGCCGTATCTTGACTTATGTGTCAGTATGTCATACAGGCCCGCACACACCAGCACTCTACAGCAGTAGCGAGAGTGACTACGAAAGTGGCTGTTACTCAATGGCTAGCGATCCATATGTGACAAGCATGTAATCGAGCTGATATCCCATATGAACTACTGTGATGAGCCGCGCTCGCAATTTTTGTCCTCATATAATTATTATAAAACATATTTAAAAGACTATATGTGTTTGCAGATATTTTATTTCTCGAGAAACTAATATAATTAAAATTATTTCTATATTATTATAACAATAATCAATAAATTTTATATATATATATATAATGATTGTATATGTATGAGATAACGCAAGAAGACTATAGAATTTGCATTTCTAAATCTTGCATCTAACAAACGAATTACGAAATACATATTACAAAATTATTCGTGACGCGCGTAAACATTCGTGAGACCAAGACCTTCACAATTTCACCTGCCATCATCAACAATGTCATCTACATCAATATCGGATACAATGCTATACACAAGCCAAATCATTTCAAGGTTCCGATTGGCTCCTTGTCGCGCATTAAGTCGAATAGGAAAAAATACCATGTTTGCCAGCCTAAAATCGTACACCATGTTGAAAAAAAAATAATTTTACTCCCTCCCCCCCCACCCCTCTCTCTTTCGAGTTTTTATTTAATTCATCATTAAAAGCAATTGACATTAGCTTGAAAAAGTGAAAATTTCATAAAGTAAAAAATTTATAAATAAAAAAATACATGC